GCAGCTCAGCTCCCGCTGCCCCAGCACAAGTCACAGGAGTCCCAGGGCAGCCCCACACATCCCCAGCACAGCCGCGGAGCAGCACCCGCTCCCGTCCCCAGCACGGCGTGAGCTGGCCCGTGCACCTTCCCTTGGGAAACAACGGCACGGAGCTGCTCAGGTCTCAGCAGCCGCTGGCAGTGCCTGTAAAGCAACAGGCAGTTTATGTTAGTGCTTCATCCTCAAACGCGCAGGGCTGCTCTGTCTGCAGCCTAAAAATCCTGTTCCACCCCTGAAGTCCTTATTCTGTCTGGTTTATTTTTCCTGCTAGCAAGAGGCACTTCAAGGAATGCATCAGTTTTATCCACCAGTGTCGCCTGCATGGAGGGAACTGCCTCGTCCACTGGTAACACTTCTGTCCCTGCCCGATGCCATGTCCCCCCAGCACAGCAGAGAAGAGAAGATCCAGCCCCCAGCCCCCCGCTTTGGCTGCAGACCCCTGATCAAAGCCAGCCTGTGCCAGAGGGCTCCGTGCCCACGGATCCACCCAGGATCTACCCTCGGCTGTGGCTTGTGACTCAAACCCAGCAGGATCCAGGCAGCCCTGGAGATGGGGCTGCTCCTTGCTGCAGAGGGAAGACGGGGGTTTGGGGCAGGCAGCCAGGCAGCGGCCGCGGCTCTCACTTCCCCAGGGAGGAGCGGGTATTTATAGGCACTGATGGAGAGGCACTTGGAAGGGCTCAGGCGTCCCAGAGAGCAAGTTCTTGGAGAAGAGGAACCGAAATAGCTGTAGCACAGGGGTGGAGGAAGGGGCGAGCGTGGGGTCAGGGTGCGCCGCTGACAGCAGCCCTTCTGCCCTTTCCCTTGCCAGCCTCGCCGGCATCTCCCGCAGTACCACCGTGGTTGTCGCCTACGTCATGGCCGTCACGGAGCTGAGCTGCCAGGAGGTGCTGGAGGCCGTCCGAACCGTCCGGCCCGTCGCCAACCCCAACCCCGGCTTCAGGCAGCAGCTGGCTGAGTTTGGTGGTGGCGCAGCCCGCAAGGTGGGACCAGCCTCTGCCACCCATGCTCTGCTCCACAGCTGAGCCTGCCCATGGGTCTCAGAGCAAGGACGAGTCCCCAGGGGACCAGGTTGCTTCCCTGCTCCCCTTGCTGGCAGGCTTGGACCTGCCCTTGGAAACGGGCACCTTAGTTTGCTTCTCCCTCCTTCCCCAGGTCCGCAGGCACCTGAAGCAGAGATATGGGACATCCCCTTTCAACGACGAGGAAGAAATAAAGGCCTTGCTGCCAGCGGGGAGAGGCAGCCCATCCAGGACGGAGGGAGCTCTGCAAGGGCTGGTCCCAAGAGCCAGAGACATCAGAAGCACGACTCCCTTCCTGCTGCGGGTGAAGAGGACGTTCTCCTGCATCCCGGCTTGTCTGAAATGACCCCAGCCAAGGGCGAGCAGCAAGAATCACCCAACAGCCTGGGAGAGACGAAGGAGCCACAGCACAGCGGGCCGGGGGAGCACTGCGCAGGGGAGCCGCGCCAAGCCCAGCTCCTTCTTCTCTTCTGGGGTGTGAGCGTGCCATCCTCTGTCCTGGCTCTCCGCTGTCGGGGAGGGATTTGTGTGCCAGGCTCTGCAGCGCTCGGTGGGCTCAGCCCCTTCACACCCAGCGTATTGGGGACGCCTGGTGAAAGGCGCAGGTCTCTGTCTTCAGGTCACTGCGGGCTGCTGCTCGGGGCAGAGCGACAGAGGGGATCTCTCCAGCCACAGGGCCAGCACCCAGGTGATGCCAGCAGCAGCTTTAGCACTTGGGTACCCGCTGCACGGGCCTCAGGGTACACAGAGCGCGGGAGAGCCGGCGCTCCCCTTGGAGCAGTTTTCCCACCAGCAGCACAAGCTCCCAGAGCCGAGGCGGCTGCGGAGCAGGGACACGCGGGTGCATTAGCAGGTAATGCCGCCGCACCGGCTCCCAGGTGAGGGTCCAGCTCCAGCCCGGCCAAGCACAAGCCCTGAGCGAGCACTGTAGCTTTAGGAGTCCATTGCACCCCATTCCCACCCATCGCAGGGCACAATCTTTAAAAGGTGGGAACTAAGCATTTAACCTGGCCAGACCTCACTAAAGCAGGGCCTTAAGCCATTTTGCTTAAGGACTTTCTATGTCCCCCCAGTAATAAACACCTATTTTCCGTGGTCTGCCTGGGGCGCGGTCTGACTCCCCTGCGATGGCCGGATCAGAAGGGGGACGCTGAGGAGGAAGGTACCGGCGCAGGGCAGGTTTGGAGGCTGCTGCTGGCTGCTCTCTGCAGCCCAGGAAGGAGTGGGCTGGGGACACCGGCACGCCTGGACAGTGGACCGCCCTGCCGCCTTGCAGGAAGGTTACAAGACAGGCCAGAAACCCGGGTGCCACAGCAGGGCTCTCTGTGGGGACAGGGTCTGCTCCAGGAGAGGTCGGGCAGCAGCAGGCAGGTGCACACCTGGAGCCTGTTTCACTGCAGCCTCTCCACTCACCGGGTCTGGGAGAACCGGGTCCAGGAGCCTGCTGGGAGCACTGAGAGCCTGGCACCAGCTGAGCGTCACAAGCCCCAGCTCCTCCCCAGACCTGTCCTATTTATACCTTTCCCTGGGGCAGAGTCCCAGGTGGGGAAAATGCTGGGGGCGCCCAGCTGGGTCATCAGCATCTCCCCTGCTGGGAGCCCGAGCATGTTTCTGGGGTCCCCCTTGTCCCTGCCACCCCTCTCCCACCGGGGAGGGTGTCCCCCAGGAGCTGGAGGTTTCCAGCTCTGCGTGTGAAGGGGTGCCAGGCTTGGGGTCCCAGAATGAAGGAACTTCCCGGGAAGTAGGGACTGCCTCTGCCCTGGCTGCTTCCAGGAGACATCAGCGTGGGACAGGGCATGCCCATCAGTAATTAATAATCGCTTGTTTACCCCTGGGTGGCGGCTGTGGCTGAAGGTGAGCAGCCGGCTGGGCATCCCGAGGGTCCCTTGGTGCCCGCCGTGCCGGTGCTTGGGCAGTGTGGGACCCCACGCGCCACGGGTGCTGCAAGGGGTGCACGGAGCAGCAGGGGCAGGAGGGGCTGGTGGCTGAGATGGCACTATACCTGCCACCCTGGGCTGGTGTGCCGTGCCATGCTCCACTTTTTGGCACTCTAAGCCTCCCCTTCTGTTTACAAGAGGGTAATTTAGGAGGTGCTGCAACG